TTCTGAAGCAATATTTGTATCAGTTTTCTATCAGCTGTGACATATAAATCTGAATGTTTTTTATATTTAATCTAAGGGCATTTTTTACCTTTATAGAGGGCATTTTCCCCCAAACCTCCTTAATACCTCATCTTTCATTTCAAATTCTTACATTTAATCCGTAAATTAAATTATAATAATGTGATTATTGTTATCTATACGCTGTCAAATTAAATAATTTACACTGAAATTTCTGTGTTTTTCTGTCAATATGGGGTGCTGTGTGTACATTAATGAGGAAAAAAAATTAACTTAAATGATTTTAGCAAATGGCTGCAATATAACAAAGAGTGAAAAATGTAAGGGGGTCTGAATACTTTCCGTACCCACTGTATATATATACATATATATTAGAATTAATTCAAAATATTTACAAAAACTATAATAGTATATCAGTGATATTAAAATAACGCGTCAAACATGGAGGGGTAACATTATGCTGAAAAATATATCATATTTAATGTTTCAAGCAATACAAAAATTTGTATATTTTATATATAATATTATAAAAATATAATATTATATACTCCGCGAGCTATAATTGAATTATTTCATTTACCAGTATCAGTATCAATGCCAGTATCAGTATATGACTCATTTCATCCAGGTAGTAAAGTTAATGAGGGCAACAGATACAACTCCTTACCTGAACCTAAAGGTTCTTTAGTTGATATTACGGCACATTCAACTGCCCAAAGTACAGCGACCAGAAAAATGAGGAACGACCGACCCATATCTGGAAGACAAAGAAATGACAAATATATTAAATATTTGTTAAATATGTGTGTGGTGTTGTTTTTTTCAAAACATTTCCATGACATCTTAAGGCCTGCAATCACAACTATTTGCAGATTTCCCATGACTCTGACCCTATAAATAATATTCAGGCACTCTTGAATGTCCTCTTCAGCTTTTATGATATTGTTAGTCATGTTTTATGAACTTTGAACCTCATGTTTACTGAAAGTGAACAGTGTTTGTGAGACAAACTCAAAGTTCAAGCCAGGATCCAGGAAAAAAAAAGTTTTTTACATGACATTTTCTCACTCATATATATATATATATATATGCTATTTTCTCTATAAAAGTAAATGTCAAATGAGAAATAATTAATTTAAATAAAGTAGAAATATTTTTTTTTTTAAAGAAAATTGGTGTAGGTCTGAATTTCACTCAGAAATGTCTAGTAAATTTCACAAAGAAATGGCATAAAACACATAATAGGAGAAAACCTGAAATATTTTCTTGCAAAAATGTACTCCTCTAACTTCTGTTTAATTTAAAACATCAAAAAATTATTATAATTTTTTTTTTACAGTGTATGTATTGCTTTCATGATCATAATATTTAGAAAATGACATCTAATTATAAACTACAAAAAACAAAAAACAAAATAAGGCTCAGATTCAGAGATGCATAAGTGCAGTAATATATAATCTGATGACCAACTCTTAAATAACTAAGCTTAAGCAATCTGCAAATACTTGTGGATTTCTACTCTGACTTCCCTCTTTTCTAAGAAACGCCGATACATGGGCAATGCTGACTATAGCTGAAGCTCTATAGAGCCGATCCAGCAATCGACCGCTAAAACAATCATTTTTGCACAACAGTTTAATTCTTTAAAAGAGCAGACTACACGGCTGCATTTCAGAGGAACTTAACGTGCTTACACAGCATTAAAAATGGGAATTTGAGGAATTAAATAAACGTGCACTGCAGAAAAAGGGAACATTTTGTAATTAAACAGGATCTAAGAGTACATGGCCTACATTAACCCTGAAATTTAACTAACCAGCCAAATATTGATCTGCTCGTAACCTCCAAACCCTCATCCAGATGTTCAGCGGATTGCCAAATATTTACTTCACAGCTAGTAAATCGTTTTTAATGGGCAATGACATCAGTTGATTCCACTTGTACACATAAACGCTTACAGCAGCCACATTTAAAGATTATTTACCTTAGAACAAAACATTATTTAATTAGTGAATTTTTATTATTCCTATTGATTAAAGACTCTTCCTAATAAAACCAGCAAGCCATGCTAATAATTTTAAAGAGATAGAAGAAATTTAGCATCACATCACTTGCTCACCAACGAATCCTCTGCATTGAATGGGTGCCGCCAGAATGAAAAATTTTAATTAGCTGAGAATTGACTCACCTTTAGGCCATCTAAGATGTATACGAGTTTGTTTCTTCATCCGAAAAGATCTGGAGAAATGTGTCATATGAATGGTTGTGAATGGGTGCCGTCAGAATGAGAGTCCAAACAGCTGATAAAAACATCACAATAATCTACAAGTAATCCACACCACTCCAGTCCATCAACTAACATCTGGAGAACAGAGTATGTGAGCGGAGCGGTGGGATTTTGAATGGAGCGATATTTTTAAGAAGTCGGAGCGTTGTGGCTCCAAGAGCGCTCCATCACGAGTACAATTCATGCCAACGGCCCGTAATATAACTGCATATTTAGCAAGAATTCACATGTTAAACATAGCCTATTTAGCTTGATAGAGATGGATCACTCACATCAGAAAGAATGTGAAGACTATGACGGCAATGGACATGAGCGGGAAGTTATAGTTCTCAAGGAATTTATATGTTCCTTCTAGATACTGAATATTTTCGGGTGAAAGCATGATTCAAACAGGTACGACACTTCTTAAATCACCTCATCTGAATCAGGAGAGAAATATGCACAGACCAAACACCATTTACAAGCCAAAACAGCTGTAAAAAGCTATATGGGGGTGGATTTTGATGTGATTTTCACTGGAGAAAGCATTAGTGGACTCTGGCCAGAGGTGACAGTTTAAAGTTAAAATGCCATAATGATGGATTTGTTTCTTACAAACATGCAGCTTTTGGCTTCTCAAAACAATAATTGATGGATTATCAGCTGTTGATTGGTTTTCATCGGCTGTTTGGACTCTCATTCTTACGGCACCCATTTATTGCCATTCATATACTAAATTTCCCCAAATCTGTTTCCATTAAGAAACAAACTCATCTACATCTTGGATAGCCTAAGGGTGAGTCAATTCTCATCAAATGTTCATTTTTGGCAGAGCTAATCCTTTAATATGACTAGGTCTAAAAACACTCTGTAACTGTTAAAGGCATGTTGTATAATTTTGGGTTGATTCACAAAGATTTGCAACCCAGTTTGACAATTTCTGCTAAGAACTGGAAAAACAAACAAGAAGAAAATGGATCAGAATGAATAATGAACCCAATTTTCAAGTACAGCAAAAGTTTGGGTGGCACTGGTTTTAAGAAATGACAATCCCCAACAACACTGAACGACACTCATTACAGATCTGGGAAAATGTAGCCTACTTTAACAAGCCACATCATTATAATAGTTCAACAATTTCCTGACAGGGTGAAGCACAAGCTAACAAGCAATTTACAAAATGCCCATCTAAGAGAACAGACCGAGAGAAAACCGTTCAAGTGTTGAGTTCCAACAACCACAGATTTCACTACTGCCGCATGAAGTTACATAATAGCAACGAGTCTGTCACTTGCCTAAAGCCTCTGATTCAGTGCAAACATGTATGAGGACATGCTGTACTATTCACATGCATCTCAAATAAGCCTCATTCTACAAAACACATGGCTTTTTCGGCTTGCTATACCGGTTTTCATAATATAATTGTACGATTTTAAACACTGTCAGATAAATAATGTGCTAGGTTTATACATTTTAATATATGTTTGGGAGATACTTATGCCTTCAGAAACTACAAGGTAATTATCTTTACTTTATCTATAAATAAATAAATAAAAAATATATATAGATATATATATATATACATATATTATTAGATAAATAATGTGCTAGGTTTATACATTTTAATATATGTTTGGGAGATACTTATGCCTTCAGAAACTACAAGGTAATTATCTTTACTTTATCTATAAATAAAAAAATAAAAAATAAAAAAAAATATATATATATATATATACATATATTATTTTAAAATGTTATATCAAAGCCAGTAGAACAGAATAAAATAAATAAATAGAAGTATATGTGAATGTAAATTTAAAAAATACTGTGGATGAGGTGCATGAAAACATTGCTGATGACTTCAGCTTTAATGACTCTTACATAACTAGAGTGCAATCAAATAAAACAATATCAAAGCCACAAATCAACCACTTCCTATTGTCCGCCCCATTGTCCACACTTGAGTGAACTGATGTTTCTCACGATATTAAAGACTTTAAGGCTTCTGCTTAAATGGTTGACACGCTTGGTAAATTAATGCAATAGAGTAAAATTGTCTATGTTTGAATTTTCTCATGCAAATAAAATGTACATAGTTAAATATGAGAAGTAAAAGCATCATTACTTGTGCAGCACATGTATGCTCCGCCTTCATTGGTGTTTAATTAAAAGCATGCCATGATGCACCTTATGAAGCTGGCTGATAAATGTGCTGAAATCCAGACAAAGCAACTTAAATATAAAAGAGTTTTGTGTGACATTTCTATAGCTTATTCTATCCATAGCTTTGCTTTCATTCTAAAACGTGGAAAGAAGTCATGATAAAGCATGCCTAAGTGTGTCCAAATTGTGACTGCCAGTGTAAATCAAAGTTCTGCTGTAAAAATACACAGGCATCTGTTGAACAAACATGAACATTCATTCATCAAGTTAAATGCTAGGTAAGGATTTGACCTCACCGCATGTTTACAGAGGAAATCTGGGAAAGCTCAGAAACAAAACCTAGGGAGGTCATGGATATAAATGAATCACACAATATAACAGCACAGATGGTGCAAGTCGCCACGTTTGCTTCGAAAACAAACCAGGATCCAGTGAACGAGCGAGCGTCTTACCCAAAAAGTCGTTCCCAAAGCATCATGCTCCCCTTCAGTAAAAACTCGCTAAAAACGAAAGTATACTACAGTATTTATTACAGTTTATCAGTTCACTAGAGTTAACCTACAGTATGCTGTAGCATTCAGTAACAAAGTGTTGTAAATACTATAATATATACAGTATAATACACTTGACTATAGTATGGTTCAAAAAACACTATAATATTTACTATAAATTACTATAGTATTTTTTCATGTAGGCTATAGTTGTAGAAAACTATTGGGTGAAGTAATTTGTTTATATTATTATAGTTGTTATGTTATCACAGCAACTATAGAATTACCACAACAAACTAATTCAATTACTTTACTATAGTATGGTTCAAAAACACTTTAGTATTTACTATAAATTACTATAGTATTTTTGTGCGAGACTTCCGGTGTCATTGCTCTTCCAGTTATTTTAGCAGTAAAAACGCCATGCTGCTTAAAATACTGCAAACTGTTAGGGCTATTTCTTATCATATTATTTATTATTATTATTATTTATTAGGCTATAATATTTATGAACACACTGGTTAATAGTGCAAACAGTTTTACTGTTTAATGCACTTAGTTTCCCCAAACTTTGTTTTCTGTATGTCAATCAATTAATCAATAAATCTGTCTGACCAAAATATATTTTACATATTGTAAACAGTGAAGCTCAATAAAATTATTTTTTTTTACATTGAAAATATATTTACTTTCAAACTTCATATAGCCTGTCAAAATATATTTCAAAATGTATTTCTAATCTTATAGTAGCCTACATTTAGGCTTTATTCATGACTTATTTTAATTCAATTGAACTTTTATCTTATTCAAATGCGTTATATGTTCACATATGTTATAGACAACAAGACATTTTTCTTCAAATGTAACATATGTGACTGTGATTTTCTTGGATTGAAATATATGGAGGACTAAATATATTCTTTAAAAAATATTTATATTTTCAAAATAATTTTAAAACAATAAAAAATATATTGGTAGAATATAGCCTATATATATACACACACACACACACACAGAATATA